ATGCATGCACCAGGCCCATTGACCTAAGAGGCCTCTGCATCAGCACCGACCCTGCTTCTGTGAAAGGCCACACTCTGAGGTCCAGCGTACGACTCCAGCATACCTGTCTGAGGGACACAGGTCAACCCATTGCAACTGGCAAGCCCTAATGGATACGGCCACATGTCCCCAGTGAAGCTAACAGTAGAATGCAGCTAGTGAGATTGTAAGTGCATTGAGAATTTCCAAGAGAGAAGTATTAAGGGGACTATATGGTGAGAAATTTTTACCCAGTTAATGGTTCCCCTGAAGAAGTAACATTTTAAATGGAGATGAATACATGAGCGAAGTCAAGCAATCAAAGGGAGAGAAGAGTTTCTAACACCCTCACTCTCTGATGCCCAGACTAGAGCTCCCGGCCTCCTCAGCACTGGGCTTAGGCAGAAGCCAGGCCAAGAACACAGGGGAGTACTCTGACACTAAAGCTTCAGTGAAGCCCCAGCTGGCTCCCCCGGACCAGCAGCGCCTGCCTCAGAATCACCAAAGGCACAAAAGCAGGAAAACTGCAAGACCGTGACCCACAAGTCCAACCTCTATGCAAGGCAGAAGTAGCCAAACGTCTCTGCTTTCCTTTACTGGACCTAAGTCAATGAAAATTTTTTGACTCAGAATCAGCAAAGTGCTTAAATACATAGATAGTTCCTGCTGACCTCCTTCCTTGGGAATGTGTAATGTTCTTTTACCAGGGTAGGCAGAGGGATCTGTTCTGTGAGTTTTCTGAGCGGTGTTCAAGTGGCCTCACAGCTGCCAGAATGCTCCTGCATCAAGGACCTCGTGGCTGAATTTCCACCAGCAGTGAGGGGCGGGTCATGGGAGCGAGGGTAGAGAGCCTGCGCTCTGACACGCTTTGACCCTGGAGCACCACTAGCCGTGCAGGCAGCATCTTCAGCCTTGGGGTGGTTGGTGGATTGTGTCATACGTGCGACATTTTAGTGTTTAGCCTAAAAGCAAGAGGAAAAAAACCCTTTTTTGAAGCATAACTTGGAGAAAAGTACACAGGTCCTACAAATCAAGTTTGGTGGCTTTTTGCAAAACCAACCCAGTTGCAGCTATGAGATCTAGGTAACATCCCAGAAGCCCACCCCACTGCACCCCTCCTCTAGCTCCTGCCTGCCAAAGCTGACCAACATCCTGACTTCTAACACCAGGAATTAGTTTTGGTTTTTGAGCTTATATAAATGAAATGAAGCCATATGAATTTTTCTCACTGAGGCTTTGTTCAATCATCTTACGTTTGTTAGATTCACCCATGTTGTTGCTTGTTGCTATAGTTTATTTTCATTATTTTATATAGTGCTGTATTGATATATTATAATTTTCTATTTACCCAACTGTTAATGGAACATCTGGGTTTTTTCCCAGTCTGGGCTACCATAAATAACGCTGCTTTGAATATTCTTTTGTTAAAATCAGTATGTGTTTGTGACACACATTGCATTTGTTGGGGGGAATTGGTCCATACACATATCACCTTTTTTTTCCTTTCTTTTTTCTTTTTTTTATTTTAAAAATGAAAGGAGGAAAACATTAACGGACAGACAACCTTTTACAAAATAGCAAAAGAACAGTACAGACAGTACAGAGTTACAAACAAAGTGGTAGGGAATTAACAATGCTTGTTGTATTACATATTGATATCTTCACAGTGGTTTCTCATGAAAACAGATAGAGACGTGCAATACTGATCAATCAAGGACTCCACATATCACACCTTGATGCTTTCAATTCCCCTGCTTCCCATCCCTCCCGTCTCCCCATCCCAGACCCCTTTTTCATCTCACGAAGTCTGTCTCTCTGATTCCTATATCTGTCTTTTATTTTGCTCTCTAAGTTTTTTATACTTCGAGTCTCTCATACAAGAGAAGCCATGAGATAGTTTACCTTCCGTGTCTGATTTATTTCACCATGGTCTCAAGGTACGTCCATTTTCATACAGATGACTCAAATTTATCCTTCCTTATTGCTGAGTAGTATTTTATTGTGTGTATATATTACCAAATATTCCTGTATATGCTTTTGGGTAAACATGAGCATTGGGAAGGGTACACGTTCGCATGTGCTAGTTGTCTACTGCTACATAATAACCCCACCAGAAAACACTGAGTAGCTTATCACAGCAATGACCATCCTCTCCCACAGGAAATGTGAGTACGCAATGTAGGAGCAGCTTGGGTAGGCAGCTCCAGCTCACGGTCTTCCCAGAGACTGCAGTCATCTGAAGGTTGGCTTGGTCTGGGGACCGTGCTCTGAAGGTGGCTTGCACGTGTGAGGGGCAGGTTGGTGCTCACGCTGGGTGGAGGCTATAATTCTCCTGCAGTGGACGTTCCTGAAGTTGGTCTGACTGTCCTTGTGACCTGAGCCTGGCTTCCTCAGCACTGAGTGAGCAGACACTGCGCTTTGTGGTCCAGCCTTGGAAGTCATGTGGCATCACTTCTGCTTCATCCTCTTCATTGAAAATGAGCCTCTCAGTCCAGCCCAAAACGCCAAAGGTACGAGACGCAGAAAGCAGAGATCAGCAGCTCAGGATGCGGCAAGGAATGTGTTCACCTCTCTTACAGCCATGTTAGCGTCACCACGTTTAAAGCTTGAAATTAATCCTGTGAGAGATCTAAAAATAAGAGAAGTATATCGGAATTCACACAGCACTCTATGAGAAACACACTTGCTTTTTGTATTTATTTAAAATTTTGTGAACGCCTACAGCGGAGTGTTCAGGGTATTCCCTGGAGGCAGCATGGTGCAATAAGGAGGACAAAGCCTTGAAGTCAGACATACCCAAGTGCTGGTTTGCTGTTTTGTTTTTCTGTTGTGGATTTTTGGCACTGGGGACTGAATCCACGTACATGGTGGGTAAGCGCTCTGCTTCCGAGCCACATGCCCAGATTTCCAAAGCTTGAATACTGGTTTGGTTCACTTGATTACTCATTATGACTGCCCAGGCAAGACAGTCTCTTAGATTCTCCCATTCCTTCAACTGTGAAAACCAAGGGAACCTACATCTCTAGGAGTAATTAAGTGAGATGATTTGTCTACATGCTCTCTATGATGGTAGATTCCTTCCATCTCCTCATTTATAAGGAATGTATTAACCATCTGCATTACCTAGGAAGTGCCATGAAGGATAAACTTCAGACATTTATAGGGAAATGGATGTGACTTGAGGCCATACTTGTAAGTGAAATAAATCAGTCTCACATGTGTAAGCATCATGTTGTCTCCCTAGTGTAAGAAGCTGAAAGAGTAAATAAGACCCAAAATGTATAATAGATAATGTAAAATGGGAAGAAAATGCTCAAAAGGAAAGAAAAACTGGAATAGGGGAAAGGAGAAAAGAAGAAAGGGGAAAGGAAAAATAGATAAATACATCTATGTGTCAAGATAGTTAAAATAATTATACTACTAATTGCTGTTAGCTCACTGAAAGGAAAGGTTTATGCCTATATTGTTTGATCATTTTTCATGCCTATATCTTGTATTACGAGCAACTACTTTGAAGACAACAATATGCATTGTACTAACCATTGTTACTCTCCTACAATCTTTTGAAATTTATACCATTGTTTCTATTGTTTTTCTTTTTTAAAAAATCTATTTAAAAAAAAGAAGTGCCATGACAAACACTGTGAGTGACACAAGAGTGACTCAGACATGGGCCCTACCTTAGGAGAGATATACCCTGGCAGGGCCTTGATACACAGAACTGTACTACTCTTGAGAAAATTATCAGTTTCTGGAATAGGTCTGAACTCAATCTTTTAAATACAGATTGAATTTGAGAGTGTGGAAATGGGAGAACTTTTGAGGGGTAAGGAAAGAGGAAACGTATTCCAAATCAGGCTCTGGCTCGTACAAAGACCAAGTTAAGAAAGCCGTGAGGCATTTCTGAGGAGCGATCCACCGCTGCTGTGCCTACACACACTGCAGCTGAAAGGCGGTGTGAGAGACGGGTCAGCAAGTACACACGTGTCAGAGCCAAAGGAAAGCATATACTGTTTTTCAATCTAATGCAAATCATGAAGCCCAAAGATTTTTTAAGCCGTTTTCTGAGCGAGCTATAAAAGCTGGGCAGACTTAGCTACTGCAGGGTCTATTGCCACAGTTTTCTTGGTTAAGTCCTGTTGGTCGAATCCTTGTGCCTTGAATTATAGACGCAGCTTTGTGAAGCTGATCATTAGAGAATGCTCCTGACTCAAGCAACTGAGTTTCGTTGTTATCGTTCTCACTGTAGAGACCACGTCCATGGCAAATGCAGTGGGGTAGTTTTTACAGGCCCTTTGCTCCATGTAAATGTGCTTTCCAAGACTAGGCCCCTCGGAACTGGCCGGGTCAGGCACTTAGCTCATCTGTGAATTGGACTTCTATGTCTAGATAATGAGCTGCTCACTCCACTTACTTCCTTTCTGGAAGACTGATCTATTTCGCAGCCTCCACTTCTGTGACATTGTGCAGTCCCAGGCAGTGATGATATTTATACATAAGACAGAGACATTTCTATGCTATGAGGCAAGTTCGAGGGAAGTAGAGCCAGTGACCTTTCACTGTGAAGCCAGAGAATAACAAGCATAAACTCTTCGGTCTCACGAAGAATGGAGGCCACAGAAATTAGCAGAAAGATTTCTGCTCTCGACCCACCATTCAGCGTGTGATGTCCAGACTATTTACATGCACAGCTCATGTCCTGCCTAGCACACCACCCTTATTTTGTTGTAGCTTCTGTGTTCCATCAAAGCAGATGGGATTGTGACCGTTACTGGTGATTTTTACAGGTCAATGTTGGACGTTCCGTGCTTTCTTCTAAGTGAATTCTACAGTACAAAAAGGGAAGATGGTGCTAGACTTGGGATCGATTTTTCTAGCCAGTCTTGGGCCACAACTTCCCACATTCCAGGCAGCACCTGAGTTCACAGGGCGTGTTCTCTGCCCTGGAGCTGAAACAGTCCTCTTCTCTCGCTTCTTCTCAGGTGGGAAACTGGCCAGTGGAGTCCGTGTAGTTTTACCTGTGGGGTTGGCCTACAAACCAGAGACGTCTTCTGCTCCCATCTGCTGTCCAGAGAGATGAATGAGATGGTGATGCTGGCTGATGAGCTGTGTCACGGCCCCAAGCCCAGCACGGTGCAAGTGTGCAACCGTTTCAACTGCCCCCCGGCCTGGTACCCTGAGCAGTGGCAGCCGGTAAGTCCTGAGCGTACTTGGGATTGGAGCCTTTGTTTACAAGAGTGGTTAAAGCATAAAGATCCTTCTTAACCTGCAGTTTTGCCCCATTAGAGGAATGTTCAAGAATTTCTCATTCTTCTCTTGTTAGTGCTCCCCGGAGCTTATTCAAATTAGAACTTTAAATTATAAAAAGCCTATTCTTTCTTTTTTTTGAGGAGGGGGATACTGGGAATTGAACCCAAACCCTTCGCACCTCAGCTGCACCCCAGCCCTTTTTATCTGAGGAGAGTCTTGCTAAGTGGCTAAGTTGCCCAGGCTACTTGTGATCCTCCTGCCTCAGCCTCCCAGGGTGCTGGGATTATAGGTGTATACTACCAAACTCAGCCCCATATTTTTTTTTTACTGTACCACACCCCAATGATCCCCAAAAGCAACTCAAATAACCTGTCTGTCAAGTGAAGCATGTTTGTTACAAAGCTTTCACCAAGGTATGGAAAGCTGTGTGTCTTCATAAAACTACATTTGTTCTGATTTGATGTATTTCCTAGTTTTTGCTGTTTAAAATTCTAGAAATAAGGTAATGATTTTTTACACATTATCACTTACATAAGTTAGAGATCCGGAGTAAATTTCAGATGTTTGTCTCGTCTTGTTTTTCTGGTTATCTGGGCTCTGAAAGTCTAGAAACCACGGTGTGAAAGCAGGGCTTGGCGAACTGCAGCCCACAAATCAAACCCGGCTTCCAGCCCTTCTTACAAATAAAGTTTTATTGGAACACAGCCACATGCATCCTTTTCCTTGTGGTCTGTGGCTGCTTCCACACTACAAGGGCAGAATTTTGTGGCTGTGACAGATACCACATTGCCTGTCCTTACAACAAGAAGGAAAGAAAGTTTGCTAAAGGTACACCAAGGCGTACGTTACAATAATAAAAACACCGCTGTTCTATGGTTACAGCCTACATCCTTAGATTCATGCATACTTGTCAAACTTTACACCTGCTTTAAAAACACAGATTTTAGATTGGGGGAAGAAATCTTATTTTGCAGTTTGCTGCTCATTAGGACATCAAACATAGCTTTAAAATGACAACAAAAGCCCCAGACAGTCAGCCTGAAAGGTGGCGGGCCTGTGCATCCCTGGCTGAGTGAGACCAGGTCTTCCTCTCGAAAGCGTCTCAGTGGGAGGATGAGCCATGTGCTCACTTGTCTAAGATGGCGAGAGGACAGCATCTCTCATACCTTTGCCTCAGTGCCCAAGGAGAGGCTGCTGCTTCCACGCAGCCAGGGGTCCTCGGTGCTCTCTTCCTTCTTTCGGTTCTTCCCCCTGTCCAGCATGGAGCTGCGGTTTAAAAAGCACTCAGAGAATCAAATAGTAACACAGGAGCAAAACACCGAGGGACACTTGGCCCTTCATGTCGTTTCCACATCTGCAGGCTCAACTGACCACCCCTTAAATACTCTGTAGTTAGTTCTACAACGGTTACCTCTGCACCAGGTAGACTTTTTTCCTTGACTCTCTAGAGAATGTAGTGTAACCACTATTTATAGAACACTTACATGGTATTATGTATTGTAAGTAATCTAGAGATGCGTTAAAGTACACAGAGTAAGTTATATGCAAGTGCTGCAGCATTTATAAGTTACAAGAGACAAGCATCCATGGATTTTTGATCCTGGAACCAAATCTGAGGAAGATCTTGAACTCCAATCCCTTAAAGATACTGAGAAATAGCTTTATAAAGAAGCATAAAACAGGGGCTGCGGATTTAGCTCAGTAGCACAGCGTCTGCCTGACAAGCGTGAAGTCATGAGTTCAACTCCCAGTACCGGAGAAAAACCAAAAAACAGAAAAAAATAAAGCATAAAACAGCTAGAAACAGACATCACTATCTATTTCCATTTAGAGCTTAAATATATAGCTAAGTTCATCAATTCCAAAACACTGTGTGATAGTCTGTGGAAGTCAAGAGGATGGAATACACTCTGAACCTACCTGTGCACCCGTCTTAGCTCACACCTAGTTGAAGTTTACTCACGCAGCAGTTAGTGAAAAACAGCTTTCATTATCCTCGTTGTAGGCTTCAGGAAAGTGAGATTCACACAGCTAGCACTTTTAGAAGTGCCCATCAGCTGATTCTGTGTGACCTTTCGCACTATTGCTGTGTGGCTGAAAGGGCCTTGGGGATCGTGTATGGTGCTCATGTTGTACAGTTGACATAACCACAGCTGATGTAGTCTCGTTCAAGACCATGCAGCCTGGACCAGAAATTATGAAGTTCTGGCTTTGTGTCTTACTGATACGTTCACTTGTGGTCATGGGCCATAATATTGTCCTAGCAGTGGGATTCTGCGAAATGCCACCCTCCTTGCAGTAGCCAGGTGTGCTCCTGAGTAATGGTTTTGATCTGTGGTGCTTTTGGGATTTTCAGTGCATATCTGTATATCAATTGCCACTACCACCAGCCCCATACCCAGTGTCCTGCTGGAAGCAGCAGAGTCCCCAAAACTCACTTTTCCATTTTCCATCTTTCTTGGGCCCAGAAAGGCATGAATTTCTTTTGAAAGGTTTTTCGATTTCTTTCCACTAGCATGAACCCTTTGGGAATGGGACAAGTTTACATCCATTTTTCAGATCAGGAAACATATACTAACTTTATACTTTAATATGACTATACTTTAATAGGACCTTTGAAAAGTATCTTCTGGGCTGGGGATTTAGCTCAGAGGCACAAGCACCTGCCTGGCAAGCTCAAGGTCCTGAGTTTGAGTCCTGATGCTGAAGAAAAAAACCATAAAAAGTATCTTCTTTTATTTCTGATACACATTTATGAAAAATATTCAAACATGACCAAAAAACAGAGAACATAGAAAGTGAAAGCGGCCAGTGATTGGTGCAGATACAGGAATCCTTGGTCACTTACAGGAATCGCTCTAACCTAGAAGGAAACAATAAACTATTCTCCCATGTTTCCTAGAATCCTACTTCTCTCATTAAGCTTTGTTAGGCAAAATCAGCAATTACTAACCACTTGTGGAAAAAGAAGAAATCTGATGTCTTTAACTCTTTCCAGAAAAGAGAAGTATAGCTGGGTCAAATGGAAATTTTACTTTTAAGTCTTTGAAACAATCTCCATACTGTTCTCAATGAGTGGTTGTGCTGGTTCACATTTCCACCAGTAATTACAATGTTCCCTTTTCCCACGACCTCCCCAGCCTTTGTTGCTTTTGTGTTTTGATGGTGGTTATGCTTCCTGGCGTAAAATGCACGTATGACCGTGTTTACAGTAGCAAAATTGGCAACTGTCAATGATGCAAGCAGCCTAAGTATGATGGGTAAAGAAAACCTGCTGTATTCATATAATGTAGTATTATTTGGCCATGAAGCAGGATAAAGTCAAGAAATGTGTAGGAAAATGGAGAGAACTTGAGACCATAATACTAAATGAAGTCAGTCGGACACAGAAGGTTACTTATCCATAGTTTCTCTTCTATGATAAACCCAAAATATAAATAAAGAGTAAAAGAAGGCAAGATGGCAGGAAAGAGGGAGAGAGACTTCCTGGAGACAGGAAAGGGAACAGGGGAGAAGAACAGGGAAGAGGAGAAGGAAGAAAGGGTGTAGAGAAATGACCAAAATGCAATGGCTGTGTGTACCAACTGTCCAAAATGAGTATTATTACTATAGATCTCAAACATATACCAGCTAAATGAAGGGAGAGGAAGTCAGTATCTATGCCTTGTGCGAGGACATCAGGAGTAGGTGCAGGCGTCCCAAGGCCAGTGATGGCGGGCCTTTCAGAGCTTTCCGTAGCACATGTGCCATGCCTCCTATTTGTTTTGGCTTCTCAGGACTGGCGATTCAACCCAAGACCTCCCACTGAGCTATAACCCCAGCCTGCCTTTTTCTTCCTGTGAGACAGGGTTTCACGTAGTAACTAAATTGCCTAGGTTTGAACCTGCCTCAGCCTCCAGAGGGCCAGGCTGACAGGCTTTGCCACACCACCCCTGGTTTACAGCCCTCTTTTTACGTGAAAGAATAGGAGACCGGGGTTCAAATCCTCCATTTAAAAACAGCCAGCACCGACGAGACACCGGCCTAGCTGGTGGGAGAAACACCTGCTTGCTCGTTGGAACACTGGGTCACCGCTGACCTCACCTGTGCTTCTCTTTCCTGGAAAAAATCATTGATCGTGTGAATTATCATCAGCTGCACAGAAACACAACACCCTTAATTCTCTGAAGAGCATTTGCCTGACAAGGGGCAAATACCCAGTATTTATATTCTGCAGGTCTGGGGGTGAGCACACATAGAGTCCAACTATTTAAGTTTTTGTCTTAGAGACAATTAAGCAGAAATAAAGCAGATTTTTTTTTTTTTTTTTTTTTTTTTTTTTTTTTTTGGTACAAGGAATCAAACTCAGGACCTTGTACTTGCCAGGCAGGTGCTCTGCACCTGAGCTACATCTTTGGCTCTAAAGCAGAGATCCAATTCTAGCTTTGGTTGTTAGGGAATCATCCTTATTTCAGTTCTACCTCTTCATATCTTATCCTCTAGTTTTTTAGCTCTGGTTTTATACAGAGAATTCTTTTACTCGGTATCAATTTAGCTTTCATATGTTGTTTCTTTGAACACCTATGACTTTTAAATTCAGATTTTTCAGACATTCGTCTCCTGCCTCTCCCCTGATTTAAGTGCCGCCGCCTCATGTCGGACTTCTTATCCATCCCCGTCCCGGGTGTGCCGGTCCTGAGAACTAGGTGCCTGTGGATGAATAAGAAAAGTAAAGAGACAAGAAAAACGAGAGAGCCAAAACTCTGAGATCGGGGCGGGGGGGCTTCTAGCCTCTCAGACTGCCTTGCCTCCTATACCAAATTCCGTCACCTTTAATTGAGCGAGAACCAAGGACGCAGCTAGGACAAATGGGCAGATACCAAACATTTTAGCAAGGATAATTAAAGGATCACCCAGGACAGGCCTAGAATCCCAGCACTCAAGAGGCTGAGACAGGAGGATCA